TCCATTAGATTTGGGATCAGAGGGGCCCTGTGGGACTGAATGCAAATTTAGCAGGATTAGAGCGGCTTCATCTTACCAATAGCCAGAAAGAGAGCAGACGAAAATTTGAAAAGAATCTGCCTGACAAGCCGACACCCATTCAGACACAGACATTGCCGATTTTAAGATCCATTAACCTTGAAAGTGCAAAAAGAACATAAGTTTAAGGTTTTCCAAAATGTTGGTTTAGATTTTGAAGATTCACTCAAAATAGTGACAATATTGGTTAAAAAAAGGGGGAAAAAACATGGGAAAATTAAAAGATAAAGTTATAGGAATTTTTCCCCCCCCCCAAAAATAGTTTCTCTTCCAAGTTGCCTTCCACAGACGCATCAATGCATCAGGATGATCCCATTCGATTGGTTATATATCCAACCAACGTAAATAAACGCAAAATACATAATGCTACACATAAAATGCAGAATAAATCATTTCTTACTAAAAACATCACATACATATTCCAGTGATGTCAATGTATAATTAGGAGTCAGCCTCACAGTTTTCAAAATGTATCAATGAAAACAGCGTTGAAGACAGAAGCCATATGAATATTTCATTTAGTGATTTTTTTTAGAAGCAAACCACAGCGTCAATAATGAAGGAATAATGAAGCAATAATGTGCACATCCACATAAGTGACTCCAATTGCTACACTTGACCACTAACAGATGACTAACCATCTAACAACAAGACAAATAGTCAAACTCTTTCCCAGATTGATATAGCAGACATTGTTTTTTGAAGTCTTTTTGCTATGGTAGGAGAGTAATTACTGTCATTGATTAATAGTCCAGGGCCGGCTCTAAAATAATACGCTGCACATGTGTGTAAGCCCGCTTAAAGGAAAGGCTCGTTTTGTTGCTGGGATTTCACAGCCTAAACTGCTTTAGTGAGATGTAATGGAGAGTAATTTTCTTGTCTTTAGAGGTGGGGTGGGTGGGGTGAAGGCAGAAAAGATGGGCTGGGTCACCAGGTCATTTTCCACTGTCTCAGCATGTCAAACCTCAAAACAAGGACAAGTCTGATTTGAGGTCAGCGACTATGCTCGGTGTGAACAGAAGCTTGCTTTTGAGGATGCAGGAAAACATTTATCAGTCGTTTAATCTGCAGGAGTGAAATTGGAATTTCTAATTTTTAATAAAAGTAAACTGGACCGGCACAACCATCGTTCAATTAAATACAAGAGACGTTTTCAAATTACAGCACAGAAAAAGGCTACAAGAAGATGGAGAATTTCAATATTCACGGCAAAAATGCATTTTGTAACCTCCTAAAGGAGGCTTTGGTGCACTTTTAGAGTTATTTTGGAGGGTCGGCTGTCTCTGAAAAGCTTCACCCCTGTTGAATGAGCTCCTGTTTGTGGATAGTGGTTCTCACTTTCAGTTTAAGCCTTTTCCTTTTCCATACTTACAAGTTTTTTGTTTGTTTGTTTGTTTTAGTTTAGTTTCTGCAAGATTTAGTCTGCTTCATGTTGTCAAACATGTTCCATTTAAGGGACTTCTTGATTCCACAGGCATTGGTTCAAGTAGTGAAATTCAAATCTGCCTTTCTAAAAAAAAAAAATTCAATGACAGATAATTCCTGATTAAACAAAGACGTCGGATAGTTTGTTTCACATGGGTTCATGTTGGTTTGGAGAGTTTTCTTTATTAAATTAAGTCGTCTTCATTCTTTGTATTTTCTCAAGCTAGCTTTCCTCAAACAAAATGTTTGATGATCTGAAACAGTTAAAAGTGAGAAAAAGGAAAAGCAGAAAAAATCTGTAAGTGGCCAAATACTTTTTCACAGCACTATAATTGCTCACTTTCATTTGAATATAAAAACAGAACTTTGCTCATTCAACTCTCTTCTGATTTTTTTCTTTTTTACAATACAAACTAAAAGGATGTCCTTTGTATAAAATACCTCAAAGGCATTAATAGGTACAGTATGATATCAGCTCTTTTCTCATTTGCTGGATTGTCGGAATCCATTTTCTTAAAAAGCTTGTTTTATAATGATCTTTATTTCACAACAGTTAGCAAATAATATACTATTATTAAAGTGCAAAGGTTCAGTGGATTTTTTTCTATTCTTATTAAGCCTGAAAGTGACTTCCGATAATCTAAGCAGGTTTAGAAATTTGGTAAGCGTTTTCTTGTTTATTTACTCATTCCAGTGGTGAGGGGGTGGACAGTCTATTATTTCAGCTTTCATGCACTCAACAGATAGTTGTTTCCACTCAAGACAATTTTACATTGTGCACGTAGGTGGAACAAAAATGTCAAAAAGAGAATTTAATTATTCGGGGGAAAAAAAAAAAAAGAAATCAGTGGGTAGATCATAAGAACTGGAGTGTTTACAAAGCAAAGCGAAGTGTTTGACAGTTTCCAAGAACAGAAGAGTGACAACGCTGCTGATGCTGGCGGTGATCTGAGATAGAAGACGATCTCTCCTTCAGAGTAAAGACACTAAATAAGATCACTTTAAATACAACTTCCAACAAGGTAACCTGGAGAGAGGAGCTGTTCTGTTTGGAGATAATTACAACAACAACAGCCAGTGATTGCTACCATGTGACACAGGAGGTTATTAAATTGTCACGGTGCAAGCAGCTTCAGAGCTGAACACACTTGAACTGGCTGCCCATATAGCACCCTCTCACAGTTTATCTGCTCCATTTGTTTGACATCTTTACGACATAGCATATTAACACAACCTAATTTCATCTGAGCCTCAATATCTTCTCTTGGCTGTCTCTCAGAAATCCTTCAGGGTTAGGTTAGGACTGCTGGGACGTTTGTCTCGACCGAATTACACCCAGTGACACTTCTCGTAAAAGAAATAAGCCTATGACAAAGTTTAAAATGTGATATAATGAAGGACAGTTGCCAAGAGAAAAGGCAAAATCTGTTTAATTCTAGGATGACACGAGAAACAAACGAGTTCGAGAGACTTTGGAAAAATTAACAAAAATACAGCTGAATTTCTGTTGTGGTATTTTTTATCCGTTTACAGACTAAATCAGGTATGAAAAATCAATCAAATTGAGTAGCTAACAGGGCATGCCTCATCTTTGTACATTGACAGAACTTCAGTCTACCATAACAAGCACCAATTACATTAATTATCCTCAAATTACCAACTTAATTTGGATTAAATTAGTTATTGCAAATAATGAAATCTATATATATATATATATATATACATATATTCACATGCAATAAAACTGTTTTTTCCCCCCCTGAACTTGACAAAAATAGCTTCAAACTTCACAGAAGCAATAAAAACAGTTAGCAATGCCAGTATATTTCCAAAATTTCTTCAAAAATACAGATACGTTTGTGCTCAGGAATTAACACAAAAATAATATTTACGAATGGCTGGGGTCAACTTAATCTGAAAGTGGTATTAGGCATCACACAGCTGAAGTGCCTACCGTGGGTAGAGGGTTTAGCATTCAAAACCTTTTTAAAGATTGAGTTTTTGTGTTTCACAAGAAAGACAACAAAGTTCCCAAGTCAGGCTCCAGGATAGTATGATTTCAATAAGTGGAACTTAAAAAAAAAATAATAATAAAAATAAAGGTTATGTGTCAGATTTTAGGATCAGATAACTGAAAAATCTTTACAAATCAAAATCAGCCTTTTTGTTGCTTATTCAAAGCAGATTAATAACTTTCAAACAGAATCTTATGACATAAAAAGCCTCACTGAAACGGAAATGCTCTGCCATTTACGCCATTTGGAACAGCACAGAATGACTCCCAGGTGTAAACAGAAAACTGATTTCCTGACAAAGAAAGACTTTTCTACTGAGAATTGGTTAAATCGATGTGTGGGCACTCACTGGCAACATAGAAAAACACTGTGCTGAGTACACAATGATCCTGCTATGAAGGAAAGTAAACAATATGAAACAACTGCAATTTTGCCTTCCTAAAAAGAGGAACAACTAAAGGCTAAGGAGCTAGAACAAAAGCAATTCAACCACCAGAGCTGAGACCATCACAGCTCTTGGGCATCCACTGAAGAGGCCGCATGTTTGAGATCAGAAGGTAAGAAAATACAACGATTCCAACACTTTTTTGCACCCACTAATAGTAAAAAGCATCTCATGGTATCAGCTACACTGAATCATTATAACACTCTTCAAACTCTTCACCAGCCTGTGTAGCCAAAATATTTAGCTAAGGGGAGTCAGTTTTTTTCTTAGTGTCTGAGCCAAAGGAATGAAAACTTAAATTATTTAAAATTCCCTTTCATGGAGAACTGAGTGGCATCCGTTAGAAGACATTTACTAGTCTCAAACATCATGCTATATGAGTCGGGATGCATGACATATCAACATTAATATTAATATTCATATGGGCATGTGCCAGTGATAGTCACGCAGTGCAGGATTGTGGCTGTGTAAAGCATAGAGGACATGTCAGTGATGTCTCGAAAGAATAGGGAAAAATATACTACATACATTTTCATAGATGCTCTCCCCACTCTGTCTTCAACTTCACCCAGCTGTAAGCTGTCTGAAATGACTACTTTCTAGCTGTGTGTTCAATGGGTTGCATATCCATGCCTGAGTTTAGTTCTGCAAATAACTTTCTGGCATTTTCTGGTTGTGCTCAGTTGCCTCTATTGTCTTTCTTTACCATTATTGTGAGCAATGAACCTGAACATGAAAGTTAGCAGGCTTGAACTTCATTTTATTGAAAAGATAAAAAGGTGTAAAAATGATCACATAAGCAATTAAGAAGCAGGTTCTTCACTTCAAACATTTTCATATTAAGGCTTTTAGGCGAGCCGTGCTGAACAGTCTAATATTCCACTGTTTACCAATAAAAGCTATTGTTCTCCCATCGTTAGGTGATGAAGCCCCCAGAGGTAGAAGATTTGATTAGAGAACATTTCCGCAAGGCACCAACCACACACATTACAGAGCAATCACACAAAAAAAAGAGGGAAATAATTACTGATACTCACATCTTGCAGGGAGATCATAACCGCAGGTGATCTTGGCTTTGCCGGTTTCACAGCCATTTAGTGAGTGACACTCATCATACAGACAGCACCCTGCCGCTTTGTGTATGCAGCCGTCAACTGAAACACACACACAAAAAAATAAGGTAAGGCCTACCTGAGGAGAAAAATGCAAGAGCATGCAGATCCACATATCTCAGACACGCTGGGATAAATAGTTTTGAGTGCGTTATCATTTGAAAACAAAAATCTAACTGCGTGCTGAACATTTCAAGGCTGAGTCTAGTAACTGTATCTGTATATGTTAAAATGATCAGGCTTTCTTTCCTGTAGGGATTCTAGCTCTGCTGTGGTGAGCTGTGCCTGTTGCTGGGAAATATTGACAACCTTCGAAATGAAATTAGATGGGCCAAGATCTAATAACCCCCTAGCGCAGGGTGAAAATGAGACCGTTCTTCCTGTAATCTCTCTCCTCTGTCAACAGCAATATAGAATCGGATCATTAATTTTATTTTCTCCTTTGATCCTTGCTGTGAGCCTTGCATGATTTGGATCTATGTTGTGGATCTGTCGTGGTCTGTGTTGATGTGTGCCCTAGTTCTTTGGAGACCCCAGGCCTCACACCCCCCTTAAAGGTTTTAATTTTATCAGGTTAAGGACACGATACACTTGATTGATGGCACATCTTACGCAAGAAGGCAGAGAGATAGAAATCCACATTATCTGTCTCTGAAAGCCTGACATCCCTCCAACAGCATGTTATCAATCACACTGAAATATCATAAAATCCTCCTCAAGTTGTCCTGTAGAAATCCTCAAGAGCTATTAGAAGATAACAGAGGGAGGAAGGAAGAGGAAGAAGAAAACTTGGACAGATTTTTTATTTTTATTTTTTGCCTGGTTTTTATTTGGATTTGACCGCAGGTGGAATCATATATCCCCGATTTCCTCCAACCAACGCCAGTAAGGGTCTGAGAATGTCTGCAGCATTGCTCAGGGAAAAAAAAAAACAAAAAAAAAAACATTTTACTCTAATCAGTATCTTCATCTGTAACACAATAATCCTTCATGGTATTACCCGGAAAAGAAAACTGAAAAATTCCCCAGACATGTATTTTGCTTCACATTATGAACACAGACAAAGGCCCTTTTTGATGAGGGATGGTCCACTTTAGAGTTCCTTTCAACTTCCTTGGGATGAGTCAACGACAACAGCTGGGCGGAACATTTTCTCCTTCTATCAATCAACTTTAATGGACTGAGGGACAGGCAGCTGACAAAGACAAATCCTGATGGCTTTCAAAGAAGTAACATGACTCTGACAGCGATGTGGATACGCGGCGAGATCGCTGCGGTGACAATAAGCGCTGCTTAACACAACACAGAGACGGATGCGGAGAGCGCTTAAGGACTGGCATTTTTATGAAGCATGCAACATTGTCCATGATCATCAGGCACTCGATTGCATCACAATTGGTACCCAACGTCTCAAAAAAAGGAAGTGTTAAAGGCAAAAAGAGAAAGCTGTACTGAAAACTCTAAAGGCTTTTGAATGTAAGTGTTTATGCTTCGAGATAAATCATGTAAAATGCAGTTTCACTTGGAACCAAACAAAACACCAACAGGAAGTTATTGTAAAACCTAATTTTAACATATACTCTCTGCTATGGCATAGCATAACACTTATGTTCTATGTGAAATTACGCTGGTTTGGAAATGCTAAAACTAATCCAAACTATGGTCTTATTATGGCTTATTACCATAAATAGTTTTGCACACACAGAGACTAATCCCATAAGTTGTATATAAATATATAAAGGTGCTTCTCTGCATTTCAGAATATAATTAAAATGCTTTTATCATAATCCAATTTAAAGCAAGGAAACTCATCTGGATTCAAGGTTCTTGGACATCATCCAACAATCCAAAAACATGATTGTTAATTGGTCTCTCCAAATTATCCTTAGTCAAGAGTGTCTGTTGGTGTGTGTGTGCATGTTTGTCCTGTGTGTCACCTTATTGCCCTGTGATGGACGGGTGACATGTTCTCCCTCCACTCAGTTTTCCATCAATGTCTGGATACAGCACTCTGAAGAGCCAGTTTCTGTAGCAATGACCTTTTCCAGTCTATCCTCCTTATGCAAGGTGCCGATGACTGGTTGTCTGCTGGACAACTGTCAAGTCAGCAGTCTTTCCCATAGCTATCATGGAGAAACAATTTTTTGTTTGATTTATTTTCATCTGGTTTAAGTGAGGAGTTTTTGAAGACAAATGTTTAAAATGTATTATATCACTCTTTATAACATGTACATATTGCAAAAAGTCATGAGTTCACACTGTGTGGGTATGTTTGATGGAGAAAGATGACAGAGCCTGAAATGCTGAAGGTCACAAATAGCGGTGAAAGCACACAAACAGAAAATACTGAAAAAAAGTTGAATTTCTAATAATCAACAAAGAGTTTAACACATTTTTACTCTTTTTTTTTCCTTCAATATTTTTTACAACCCTCCACATATTTCATTATTCATTCATTATTTGCAAGCATGGTTGAAATTTAACCAACAACTACCTCAGACACCTTGCCAAAAAAAAAAAAAAGAACTATGTAGGGTTCAGTGTTTCATCTCTGTTCCTGAAGAAAGAGATTGCAGATAATAGGGGGAGCTTTCATTTCACTGCTCCTCCTGTCCACCATGGTTGCATAAGCTACTCTCTCTGATGCCACTGCGTGTGTCACTGCTGTCTAGTCACAGCGAGCCCCTAAAAGCCTGCAAATTTGTTCACAGTGCCTGGAAACAGAGAAAGATGCTGAACTGATCTGGCTGCTGGCCAGAATCTCAAAAGGTAGAGCTACAGATTTAATTTACCTGCTTTACTGGTGGAATAAAACAGATGCATTGTGGGTAATAGGTGTGTTTATCATCTTTGTGTCTGAGGAAGACAAAGCGAGGAGCAAGGAAACAGAGGCAGAGATAGGTTTCAAAATGCACTTTGTAATTTTGAATTAAATTTCTGGAGAACACTCTGCATGAAGCAATCCAAACTTGATTGTGAATGCATTTTTTGTGTGTGTCCATTACGTAGGCAACTAAAAGCAGATCTGAGTTCCCATAAGTGGAGATATGACCCACATGCAATTTGACCATCAATTTATTTTCTCATTTAAGTCGGATCTCAGAGATATTCCCTGCAGATTTCTACATTAGATGCCTGCAACATTACAAAGGCAGCCTCAGATTCTCATTAGGTAAAGATTACATTTACATCTGCTGCAGAAAGAGAGACGGGTCCTTCACTTTCTGTTTAGTGGTAAACACTGTCGTTCTGAAAAATATAGGACTGGCTAATCATATTCAAAAATGTGGAAATACATTTTTATGTGACAGATGTATGAGCACATTGGAATAGCAAAACAATAAAAGATATTGCTATACTAAAATGCCAGAATACATTTCAAAGTGAAATCTGTCTTGTGATGCTCACTCAAGTCTCTGTCAGAATTTGTGTCCAAGTTGGTCTAAGCTATTATTATGATCCTTTATAAGAAGGCAAGTGCATTAACCTCGACACCCTGATGACACTCTTCTTTAGATTTATTTTTTATTATTCGGAAGGGAAGCAGTTCTGGAGTTGCTCTTTTGTGTTGATGGCTAATAAATACAAATAGAGCTTTCACTACTTTTATCTTCTTTTGCAAGGAAACATTAAAGGTCAGAATGCAAAAATGTATGTATCCACTGTGGGAATATCACGACTGGATAACTTAAAGATTTTAGTGAAGTTAAAGATGGGACCTGTTAGATTAAAGGGCTATTTAATGGATCATTCAAGACTGATTACAAATTTTACAAGACAAAGTTTATGAATTGTGCAACCTTTGCTTTACTTGTTAAAGCATTTAAGAGTAGCAGTGTGGCTTTTATCTTGGCCATAAAATGTTGGATCAGATTTTTACGCTTGCAGAGTTGTGGAGGAGGGTGTGTGAGTTTGGTTGTTCAGTCCACATGCGCTTTGTGGTTCTAAAAAGACCACGGGTGTATTCAGAGCGGTGTTGCAGGAGCACGGTGTGCTGGACATGATTTTAAGGGCTATCCAGTCCTTGTATAGCCCTATTAGTGGCAAAGAAAACCCTGCTGATCCTGGGGCAAAGATAGGATCTTAAGGCATAGTGTCAGAGCAGTGGGATGGATTGAGTTTGAAGACCTCAGAATCTAAACATTGCTTTTAGAACTAGCGGTGCTGGCGTTGTTCTTGGTGTGTGAAGAGCCATGATTGTCAACCAGAAAAAGGTGGATGCCACCTTCCACATTGGGGACAGTCTGTCTCAAGCACAGGAGCTCAAATATCTTGTTCACAAAAATCAACAGACAGATCGGGGTTTGTCCGCGATATTGTGGGCAGTGCACTGGTCTGTCAAAGTAAAAAAAGACCTGGGCTAAAAGAGATAATTATTTTCAAATAAATAGTGCTTAAACCTCGTCTTGTTACCGTTAACCCAGAATCATTTATCATCTCCAGAGTCAGATGCAGTACACCCCTCCTCCATACAAGTTTGCATTATGTGTTTAATGAAGTTCGACTCATTAGTAGCCCCGTGTGTTTGAGCAGTTCCAAAAGGACTCCTTAAAGCAATTACGCCTGTGTCCTTACCTCATTGTATTTTGAAACCAAAATCGCATTCAAATACTAAATCACCATCCCACAGATGCACCTGGATCACAGCCCTGAAAGACTATCAAAGCTGCCTCCTTCTCTCTTATCCCTGCTTTCAGACTGATACACATGTCAAGTCCCAAGATGAACATGTGCTCATCTCTGTAATGCACAAACACAGGTGAAAGGTGCCATATTTCAACTTCCATTAAGGCTTTCTTCACAGAGGACATTTCATTTAACAGGCTTAATATTCAGGCGGCAGCATCTGCCTCTGCCGAGCCCACTGCTGGGCCTTTTCGGGCCCCGCTGAAAAATATCACAGATAATACCTCATCTATCTCTGCTTGCAGCCTGCCTCTGCTTTAGGCCGGGCCTATATGGGACAAAACATTTATTCATCTTCTCTGAGTGCCTTGCTCACAGAAACTTCCCAGAGCAGCCACTCCAGCAAGTCCACGCGG